AACCACTCGCCCCTTTCCGTAACTTCCAAGGAGACTCGTCTCTGTCTCAATGCTTGTTTTGTGCGAAAATATGACAAACCAATCAGAACGCGCGTAATGGTTGTGGTGCTTTGATAAAAATAATCCTGACTACTTAATTCGTTTATGGCATAATGTTATTGTTTAAAAAATCATGAAAAATATATATTTTCATATTGAATGTACTCTCAGAACGTAGCTAACAGAATTGTGCTGTCTATTTTAATAAGAATCATGCGATTGAAAAGTATTTCTGGCGATCTTGCAGGCTTGTTATCGTGACTGGGTGTGTGCACTTCCAACAGTTTTAGGAAATGTAGTTATAAATCGCTACGTGTTTCAAAAAAAAAAAAGTATCTGTATGTAACTAATCAACTTTAATATTTAACATTGGGCACATATTTCCTTACCGTCTGGGAATATTTTTAGTCTGACTTTTTGTCGGTCATTCATATATTTTTCATGAATTCATTTAAAAATACCACTTGGGGTATGACAGCAAGGTTACACGAGTGTTCAGTTTGAGAAATATTTTAATGTCCTTTTTGATTTTCTGCTTTGGGATTTAATGTAAGCTGTTTTGCATATTCAATAAAACAAATCCTATTTGTGATTATTAAATCTTTTTCAGAAATATCATTGGAAATATAAAGTGAATATCTGGTACGTAATTACGTCAGAATATGTCTTTAACAAATATGTTTTTTCTCCTTCTTTTTAGTTGTATCAAGGAGTGTAGCTCTTTAAAATAAATAAGGAAAACAAAACAGTAATACAATGATATTAAGTACCACTGGAATCAAACAGGAATAGAGTTATCGCTCCTGTTGAAGTAGTTCTGATGTTGCTACGTAATATGAAATCCTTTTCCGAGGGCACGAGTCGCTATTCGGCTTGTCCCGAATAACACGGGTTGGTTACGATTGTTCACCCATTGTTGCCAACTACTTTCTCACACCATCATAAAGAACTTTCTCCTTCGCTTTTAAAAGTTCCCATTACGCGCCGACTGACTTCCCCTGAAAACACAGTTCTGACATTTCCATCCATGTTTTGCCACAACGCTGATGAAATCATTCACCTTCCAATTCTCACTGATCAAACACAAAGTTCTGACATTTCCATCCATGTTTTGCCACAACTCTGATGAACTCATTCACCTCCACTCTCACTGGATCAAACACAAAGTTCTGACATTTCCATCCATGTTTTGCCACAACTCTGATGAAATCATTCACCTCCAATTCTCACTGGATCAAACACACAGTTCTGACATTTCCATCCATGTTTTGCCACAACTCTGATGAAATCATTCACCTCCAATTCTCACTGGATCAAACACACAGTTCTGACATTTCCATCCATGTTTTGCCACAACTCTGATGAAACCCTTCACCTCCAATTCTCACTGGATCAAACACACAGTTCTGACATTTCCATCCATGTTTTGCCACAACTCTGATGAAACCCTTCACCTCCAATTCTCACTGGATCAAACACACAGTTCTGACATTTCCATCCATGTTTTGCCACAACTCTGATGAAACCCTTCACTGCCTTCTGCCATCTCCCCAAACACACAGTTCTGACATTTCCATCCATGTTTTGCCACAACCTTAGATGAAACCCTTCACTGCCTACTGTCATCGACCCAAACACACCGGTCTGACATTTCCATCCACGTTTTGCCACAACTCTGATGAAACCCTTCGCTGCCTACTGTCATCACCCCAAACACACCGGTCTGACATTTCCATCCATGTTTTGCCACAACTCTGATGAAACCCTTCGCTGCCTACTGTTGATGAAACCCTGCCTACTATCACCGCCTCCACTCACCTTCTTCATCGTAATTGCTCATATCATCGCTTTATCATGTTACAGAAGTCCAGGAGTAGATTCCACGTATCTTTAGGGATGGACCGTTTATGATGCTCCTGAAACAGAGAATGAATTGGTTTAAAATGTGTGATTGATGAGTGAGTTTCGTTTTATGCTGCACTCAGCACTATTCCATCTATATGGCGGTGGTCTGTAAATAATCGAGTCTGTAAATAATCGAAAATAAATAATCGAGCCCTGACCACACGATCCCGTTAGTCAGCTTCTTACGACAAGCATGGGTTACTGAAGGTTTATTCTAACCGGGGACCTTCATGGGTGTGTGACTGATGAAAGAACTTCGACCCGACATTGGGGATCAACAATGTGTGAGACAGAGGTTTCACCCTACTAACAGAGGTGCTCTGACATGAACCATCTTGAGGATCACAATCAGCTTTACTCCAAGACTGTACTAGTTAAGGCCCACAACTGTTACATCCCACTTCCTGAAACAATCTTTTAATACTATAACTTTAGTATTAAAATATTGAAATATAACATTTATATTGATAAAACCTTGGTAAGACTACAGAATACCGGATACCTTCTGCCATCTTGAAAGCACACAAGTTTACTTAGGGTTAGGGTAAGGGTTAGGGTTAGGTTAGGGTTAGGTTAGGGTCAGCATTAGGTTAGGGTGATGTGACACTAAAACAATATGGCTGGTATGTATCTGGTATTCCATAACCGTAAATCTTGTATTTGCAGAGACATATTTACCTTATCAGAGCTGAAAATTAATGCTAAAATATAAACTAGGCTGATCCGTTATATGTTTGATATTGAACGTTCAGCCCTGTAGATGTCTACCTTAACCATGCTGATCTAAATAAATCTAAACATTTCTGTTACAGCCAATTATTATTTAAACATTGAAAATGACAAGTACAATACGGCATCAGCAAAACATGTTGACTGACACATTTCCAGTAATTGGGATTCAAGCCTGGGATTCAAGGGACACAACTCCTCGCGATAGTGACTTACATTCTATCTTTAACACTTGAGACTCTATTCTGGAGTATTCCGCACTTTTCAAAGCACAAATATAGTATGTGGCGGTTATTGATTCCTGCCTGTCGTCCGGGTGGTGGGGTAGCCTAGTGGTTACGCACGCGCCGTCCACAGGTCTCTTCGCGGTACAATTCCCTATGGGCACAGTGTGTGAAGCCCATTTCTGGTGTCCCCCTGCCGTGATATTGCTGGAATATTGCTAAAAGCGTTGTAAAACTAAACTCACTCACTCATTCTCTATATGGCGTCCACCTGTTTTTATTTATTGTCCGTATTTCATGGTTTCAAACATCGTGTCAGATATTTCTAGTCCAGATTATCACAGGGACCAGGTCTGTGAACGAATGAATGGATGACATTGTACCCTGACCGGGTTGTGATAACAATCACTGGATTGTCTGGTACAGACCCGATGTTGGACAGGTGGTTATCATATAGCCGGTATATAACTAAGTGGGCCCACAGGGCCTGTACATCAACCGTTCTGAAGTACTGCTTGCAAACACTAGCCATGAACCACCTAGTCATCAACGACAGCACACGTAGCTGTACAAGCAATGTTGGTTAAACATACAAACAGAATTTCTTTTTACATTTTAGCATAGTTTCTAAATGAAAGTGAAATATTTCATGACAAATGCTATCAACATTAATAGATCCTTCTTGAATAGACTGTGTAAAATGTGTAGATGCTGTGGCCGAGGTTCAATGCTGGTGGAACGTCTGGTTACAGTGTAAAATGTGTAGATGCTGTGGCCGAGGTTCAATGCTGGTGGAATGTCTGGTCACAGTGTAAAATGTGTAGATGCTGTGGCCGAGGTTCAATGCTGGTGGAACGTCTGGTTACAGTGTAAAATGTGTAGATGCTGTGGCCGAGGTTCAATGCTGGTGGAACGTCGGGTTACAGTGTAAAATGTGTAGATGCTGTGGCAGAGGTTCAATGCTGGTGGAACGTCGGGTTACAGTGTAAAATGTGTAGATGCTGTGGCTGAGGTTCAATGCTGGTGGAACGTCTGGTTACAGTGTGTTCTATAACATTGTGGACTTCACATGACTGAGGCATTTAGATTGTAATCTAAGCTGGAAACACTGGTTCATTATTCAGTCAAGATGGCAGTAACTATTTTGCAACTAATCTGTGAGAAAAACACAACTTGTCTGTAAAAAAAGCCTGACAAGTTATTCTGTGCAGTGCATGCTGCTGCCAGTTGCAGACCATCTCTAGAAATCCTGATACATGTGACTCACCTGTAAAAACTTGACCCAGAGATCAAGGAACTTGAACCTGCCAGCCAGCACTATGTTCCAGTACGCTAAAGCCATGTCGAGATCTGAAATAACAACAGTCAAGGTCAATCTCTTACTCTATCAAGTCCTTTGACTCGTCTTTGAGGGTCTTAATTTGTTACAAATAATTCCAAATATTGTGGTAAAAACAATGAAGCGAAACAGATCTAGAAACTAACATACCATTAGCTCAAGCATACAGTAATCCTTCATTTACACTGGTGACATCTACTGCATGTGATGTGAAGATGTTTATATGACAGAGGTCAGGCAAGGCCCTCATACTGACAAAGTCAACGTCAACTCATATTTACAGATAACTTTTTGGGTCACTGAGTTATGTACTCACTTGTGTTCATCTCAATTGGGTATCCTAATTTTCCTTTGAGTAGCCAAATAAATTATACCCACCTCACTCAAACTCAAGTGGGTATTTTGCCACTTTCCATTATTTGTGAAAATAGAATAAAGTTTAAATGTTGGTTATTTATATTTGATCTGTAATATGAGAAAAGATAAGAAAGACTGCCAAGTTGCCAAGTTCATGTGCGACATAAAACCTCACAATATACCTCAGTTATTCTATCTATCCCCAGTAACCTCCATCTGTAGTGCATGGGTCTGCTTACTTCAAATTCTAGTAGATTTGGTAAATGTTACAGTATGCAAGCTGAGATTTAACATTTTTGTGTGTACGCATGTAAGATCAAATTGATCGAGTATTTACAAAAATACAAGTGTACTTGTAGGCAACAGACTTGATAGGAACTGAGTTTTCACATAAATATTTGCGTAATTTATGCAGATATGCAGCTTATTTGTACCTCAGCAACTAAACCTAGGCTGCCTTGCTGGAGCATAACATTCGGAACAGTAAACAGCCATGCTAAGCTGTAGTTCACTCAACACTCTATCGCTCACCTAAGCCTTTTTGACCTGGATTTTTAGCATAATTGAAAGTAAATTGGTAAAAGTCTTTGAAGCGCTGTGGGTCTCGGATCTCCTGTTCCATGCTGGCACACCGCAGCTTCAACTTGTCGATGGTGTCGCAGCTGAAAGTAACAGCACATTGTCAGTGTCGCGATGTAACACATCAAGGATTCCTGAAACACCTTTGGTGTAACTCAAAAGCCATCACTTCAAAACATGTCACAATAAACCTACACCTGTATTCTCACCTAATTACTTGGGTTTTTAATACAATAAAATACATGTCAGAACATGTCCTCGCCTGAATGGAAAACGAAGTTTGTTTTGTTTTCACGATACCAATAGTGACCGAATAATATTTCACTACCCAGTTGTCATTATTTCAGATACTTAGTATCATACCAAACCTTGACTATATGGCCCCTATGTATTCAGAAAAATATGATAGTCAAAATTGCACCAAATTTATAACAAAAGCAACATTCAATTTTGAGGGCTCGAGATAATGTTTCAACATCAAGAGTACGGACTCCTTATTTTTTTTAATATAAGAGTAATGGAAAAACTTAGGTGAGTGAGTGAGTGAGTTTAGCTTTACGCCGCACTCAGCAATATTCCAGCTATATGGTGGCGGTCTGTAAATAATCGAGTCTGGACCAGACAATCCAGTGATCAACAGCATGAACATCGATCTGCAATTGGGAACCGATGACATGTCAACCAAGTCAGCAAATCTGACCACCCAATCCCATAGTCGGCTTTTGTGGCAAGCATGGGTTGCTGAAGACCTATTCTACCTTGGATCTTCACTGGATGGAAAAACTTAAGAGTACATTTAGTGTACTGAATGGAAATTAATGGAGTATCAGTAATCTTGTGTTTCGTTTCATATATGCATCACAACATTGCTACTATTGTGTAAACAGGGCAATAAACAATAAAACAATACCTTTTCAGACAAATACGTCTGTAAATGATTCTAAGACCGACCACCATTGCTGTGGTGCGTATCTGCTATGTTTTCTAAATTATTTCCTACCGTATCATGTGTATATTTTATCCGTACATACGCCGATACGGCCCTTATCTGGAGCCCTGATTTCATTCCAATGATGAATCCAAATCACACTATGGTCCCAGATCTTGTCATTAAGTTGCGACCTGTGAAGATCCTTGATCCAAATAATACAGTATCCAAACTATCTGACCACATAAATCCCCATCAGTTTCGAACACAGCTGCATTTACCCCAGATCCAACATGCCATTGATGAATTCTTCTTTAGAAAACTCGCACTGTGTGGCGGCCTTGAACTTCCATGCCAGGATGAGGACTGTCCGAGACTCGGCGTTCAGATTGAGGTCATCGAGGAACTTCATCACCCCGTCCACCGTCATCTTCTCGTCTTCATGGGGGTCTGAGAGATAGAAACAGACATGCAACATCAGTACCATGCCTTTCACCATATCTACACAGGAGGAGGGACATGACTTGTTTCTTTGACTGTTGTTTCATGCTGCAGTCAGCAATATTCCACCTACATGACACCTGTCTCTAAATAATCAAGTCTGGACCAGACAATCCAGTGATTTGACATTATGAGCATTTACACAAACAGAATATGACATGAGTCAACCAAGTCAGCAAGCCTGATCACCCGATCCTGTTAGCCACCTCTTACAAGCCTGGGTTACTGAAGACCAATACTAACCTAATCCTCATGGGCCCGGGGCATAGTATGCATTTATTCCTAAGAAAGGGACTGATGAGTTATTGGTCATTCTAGGACATGAATATACACAAAACATACCCTATTTGGTCTTCAGCAAGCCATGTTTATGCCACCACTAGTAGTAGTAAGATACAAATAACAGGATCAAAGGGTCAGGTTATCGGACTTGCTCTATGCATGTCATTGTAACCAAATTGACGGCCATGTAAGTCACTGGATTGTCTGATCTGGACTTGATTAAAGCAGACTGTCATCATGTAAATTACAGACTGCTCAGCAGGGGTCAAACAGCTGGCAAAACAAACTCGCTCAATTCACAGAAAAGTTAGTTGGGTAGGTTCTAGACAGAAGCAGAGATCCCATAATATGAAGACACTGACAATGTTGTTTCTCATCTTTCTGTGTCTATCTTAGTTTATTCTATTATATATTGATCATGATGGCTTTATCTGGATATTAAGAGGTCAGGATAGACCAAATATTGGTGTGATCAGAAATTTCAGAGAATGTAACAATCATTATAATTTAAATACTTATGACTGCATCGCAACATTCCCATTACATAATGTCAAAAGTGGAAACATCCTTATTTCATAATTCTTTTTCCATAGCAAGAGCATACATTTGTGGGTGAAAACTCCATTCACACCAGGCAATTAGTCAGTAATATTCTCTCCTCAGACCTTGACCGTATCATTGTTATAACATGGAATGTAAAAACAGATATACTATCAACAACAAGGCTAAATGAAAACTGAAAAGGTGACAGGCCGAGAAAGCCACATTTCAAAAATGACTATTGCCGGGAAGGCCACATTTCAATTACATGGCTGCAGCCGGTAAAGCCACATTTCCAATAGATTAATTAATTAATGGATTACCATAACCGGTAAAAGATTGTCCCCATGTATAAATTGTTTTCAAAAGAAACGAATAATCTTTTCTACTCACAAGCGTGGTGTTTATCAATACCAATAAAAGACTGTTCCTACACTAAACGCCAAAAGAAACGTTACCTCCTACCTTTTTGAATTACTTAAAAACTATCAAAGATATGTTAGAAGGTATTAGTTTACAAGAGAGCTTAACACAGCTTTATGCAAATCACGAACCAAATTCTGAAACACATTCATATTTAGGTGAAATGCATCTTTTTCAGAAGAGTTAAATTGTCCTATTTTCGACCATACTGAAATAAACCAATAACAATGATTTAGATGTCCAAAAGAAAGGCTAAAAAAAATTCTGCTTTGAGACAGAGATAAACCAATCAAAATCACCATTTTTCAATTATTAAAACAAGAAACAACTGTTGTAGAATGTGTAAAATTGTAAAAGAATCATTTCTATGATTTCAGTTTTTTAAACCATTTTCTGCTGATTTATATTAGTGAAAACAAGTAAAACGTGTCTTTAATATTGTAAAAAGTGTTTAGGAACACCTAAAATAAATGACTGACTGACTGAGTTTGGTTTTACGCCGCTTTTAGCTTTAACCACTAGGCTACCCCACCGCCCCTACACCTAAAATGATCTTTGTTAACATTTTCGCTTGCAAAGTAACATTTTTCCATTTTCTGTTTACACCCAGCAATATCAATCGCTAAAATGTAGCAATATTTAAGCAGTATTTGCATCAATACAGAACCATTGACGCTCGTATTGCATCACTGAAGACCAAGCTTCTGAACCAACAGCTGAGTGACATGGAGTATACGGACCATGTGGGCGACCTCCTTCATCTGCAGTAGGGGGTGTAAAAAAAAATGTTTGTATATATGATGTTTTGTGATCTTATGCCATTTTATGTGTTTGTACACATGGCAACAAACTAAACCGTTATTGTAATGTTTTACAGATTAAGATTTATTATTATTTGATAATATTATATGTAAAATACCTATTAGTATATTATATTGTTCTAATTATAGAAATAAAATCTGTTGTGATCTGAATAAAATTATGAGGAAACATGTCTTGTTTTGTTAAATACGGTAACCTGTTTGAATCACTAAGCATGTTTTGACAGCATAGCCGGGAGAGCCACATTCCATGTTCACGCAACCATAACTATTGCCGGGAGAGCAACATCAATTTTGGCTATCTGTTTCGGAAATGTGGCTCTCTGTAACCACTAAAAATATATCACTGATAATCACTTGGCATGTAACCCTGACCACTTTTCAAGTCAGTCAAATCCTTCCACATGTCAAGTTAGTCCTTGTAACTACTGTGGCTAATCTTGTACAATTCAATCACTGACAGACATCTCAGACACTTTGTTGAATGGAAAAGGAAAAGCTGACATATAAACAATCACCCTAATTAACACATATTCATTTCCCTCAACTTGTCAATGTAGGTAATTACTTATGTATACAAAGTATCAGGAAAGCCAAGCCTTACAATATTCACACATCATTACATGATTGCAGTACTGGTAGTTCTAATTATCACTTGGCCACACCATACACAACGTTTTCACATGGATACTTGTTTCCGTTCATAAATATGTATGCTGTTTTTATATGAATTTGTAACATTCTTTTCACATAATTTCTAAAGGGCTCTATGATTTTGCAGTCCACTTGGATCCTCATTCATACACATTGTTTGTAATATTATAATCTAATTTTGTTTAGGCATGAACCGGACAATCCATACCCATCTGTCACAAGTATGTTTTGGTTGACACAGATGTTACATAACCCATGCCTACCCATACCCACCCATGCCTAATCAAATGGATGACTCACACCCAAAAAATTGAGTTCATGCACAATGAGGTGGTTTATTTCTTTGACTTGAGACTGTTGTTACAATGGCAACTATGCTAATTTAGACAAAAGTTTGAAAATCCATTCCATACTTCCAGTCGTATCTCAATGTTTATCTATATATATGAACTGGCAATCCAGTTTCATCTCTCTTCATGAACTTGGCACAATTTTTGTCATGAGTATAAACTCAACAACCAATCAAAAAGCCTCTCCTGGATGCAAGTTCACCACAAAGATGCAATTACTCCTGGTGATTTAAAGTCACTAAGAACATTATAATTGTACCAGATGTATATATATTTGTTTATGTCATGTCAATCAAAGCAGCTTCAGAACCAAGATAAGGTGGATGCAGACGTGACATGCTGGATAATGAGGATGGATGACATGATGTAACACTGCTCTGTGTGTTATGACATCACAGTTCCTCACACTCTGAGAGTGCAGAGAATCAATAATCTCTCAAAACAAGTACAAAGTCCAATGATACGGAGCTTTCTGAGAGGATGGTTCGATATCGTACAAAGTCTATATGTAAAATTCACATGGTGTCACAAGAATTAACCCGTAGCAGGGGATTAATTAAGAGTAAAAGACACTCAGTGACAACTAATGTCCAATTCGAACCTGACTGAATCATCCAATCAACTAAGTGCCCCTTCAGATATCACACAGTCATGTTTTAATGCTGAGACTGTACCACATGATGAGCCCGATTTGATAAATAGCAAGCTCCCTGTGACATTCCACACAAGAAACAAGGTGGCATCGATCACATTTTTAGTTTGTTTTCGTCTTGAGAGCAGGATCGTCCCAGCATGTGTGTCACTGCGTGACAGGTGTCGCGTTGACTTCATCTGACAAATCAACTTGACTCCGGGCCGTCAGAGCGGACCAACAGAACCAGGAAATCCAGTACTGTCCAAACATCAGCTGTCATCAGCTGGTCTGGTCCTCATGCATAAATCAGGCAGACAATTACAACTGGTATTATTCGTTGCGAGTACTAACCTTTATACCTCTGCCAAAGCATATCAAGTCTCTTTCTATCGATTGTTAGTCGAGCTTCACTGTTACAGTTGTACCTGTCGGGATTCTGGAAATAATTGTCGACCGCTACATCCAGTTTCCAGTCGTGTACACTCAGACACTGGATTGCTGTTTTTTCTCCGGTTTGTGTGAAGGCAATAAATTGCCTCACTTTGTCCTTTGTGAACTTTTGAGCTTGTGCTGAAAAATATATAATAACGATGAATTATCAATCAAATACCTAGGAAATGATAAGTTATGTTCACGAAAAATTGACAATACTCACCATGTTCTTACTCCTTTTCTAACTTCCGATCATACATGCGCACAAGATGCATACTAATTTTAGGGCCGAGTCACAACTCGTTTATCCAGATTAAATGCAGTTTGTATGTGTATGGATCATTGAGGTTAACTCCAATGTCAAAGTTGCAATTTTAATACAAATCTATTTCGCAATAAATGCATTGATCGATCTATGTGTAGCACTATGAAATAAGTCTAAAGTTTTATCAGAAGATTCTAAATGAACAAACAAAACCGGTTGCATTGTATTTGGATCCGGATTGTACAAACTTGAACCTGGTTGGTGGATTTGGGCAGTTAAAAGGAAACAGCCAATCAGATATGACAACGGTTGTTGACAGGTGCTCCCTTCCGTTCACGTGGTCTACATTTCCCGCCGTTTTGGAAAGTACTTTGTTGATACTGAGAAAGTTAGAAAGTCTTGGAAATGGCACCCAGAGATTATGCTGCTGAAAAAGGTATGTTTTCAATATTTTGTCAGCCACACGATTTCGTTTTTGAAGATCTTAGGTAGTTAATATTTTATGTGAATTAAATGGAGGCATATTTTGCGTGAAATTGAAAATTGGTAACCGGCTAGCATGGTCTGATCTTCCTTAGTTAGTTAGCTGGCTGAACTAGATCTTCCCATACGCGTGTGCGATCGTTTTCGGAAATATCACGAATGTCGTGCATGAAAAACAATTTATCACAATTAAATCACCAGTAGGAATCATGATTATGCAAACAAAGATTGGGCCCCAAAATTGCTTGTAACAGGAGTGTAGAAAGGGAATATGGAACTTTCCAAGCATGGTGTTATCAGGCTAACCTTGTCATTTAATTGCAGACAAAATATCAACATTCCTCAAGGAGTTCTATCAAGATGGCGACAAGAGAGGAAAGGATTTTGTGTATGCACAGCAGTTGGTAGGTAAATCTTTTCCACTGAGGATGGATTTTTGTTGTGTGAAATAACTTGCGTAATTATTTATTGAAATCAATTTACACGTCTTACTGTTGAGGTTTCGAATGCATAGGTTTTGCTGGAGAATGATATGATTGATATGAGAGAATGACGTTCGTTACTTGATCAGTTGATGTATTATGTTGTCTGACACTCTTGATTTCCTTACAATAAAATAGCAGGGGATATTTGACTAAGTGGACCGGCTCAGTGTTTCTGGGTATGTGGAGGCATAATCAAAAGGTAGGGTAAGGTTAGTGTTGGTATGCATCACTGCGGATACAAACTCACTAATGATAAAATAGGGGGTTACAAGTGGAAATCATTGCGAAATGAGCGGGTGATAAATCTCCCCAATGTGCAGGTCTAGGATACCGACACTTTCAACACTCGGCTTACGACAGTGTTTTGAATTTACAACTGTGGACATTCATTAATAGTAAGGAGAACAGATTGAAGTATTAATATTGAACCAGTTAGAGGTGGTATGGTACATCAGCTCCTGAATTGATACTCGGAAAGAGTTCCTTGCATATATACACACACACCCCCCTTATTTTATAAGGTTCTTTTCATTACTTGTATATCTTTGTATTTTTTTAAAAATATAGGTGGGGGTACGTAAGGAACCGTTGTAGGTGACATGTTGAATAGTTACAATGGTTGAAAGTCCCAGTGTTCAAGTTTGTGGAAGCAGTATTATGACGTTTTGTTTTCAGGTGAAACTTGCCCACAGGGAGGAGGTCAGTCTGGAGATTGACCTTGAACATGTCCGCGAGTATGAGCCTGACCTGGCCGATGCCATCGTTGAAAACGCACGTCGCTATGGCAACCTGTTTGCTGATGCGGTCCAGGAATTACTGCCTGTGTACAAAGAAAGAGATGTAAGTGACGACTTCTAGTTGCAGTTTAGGAACATGTATTCTTTATGTTGTACACACTGTGGTTGTTTTCCAAAATCAAAAAGGATGTTGTGCAAGAGTAATCTTGAAACAAACCAGATACTGATCATTGAGAGACAGAGGCCCAGATAAGCTGCGTATCCTGGTAAAATACGCATATAAAATTTTCAATTAAGCATTGAAATATAATTGTTGCGTACCTATTACACATTTAAAATGTTAGATAAGCAAAAAGTTTGAAACAAATGCGTACAGAATATATTTATAAAAATCGTAATGAAAAAGACATCGATTGCTACTAAGTTTTACTGTTAGTACAGGATGAGTGATTTTTTATGAAATCATTTTAATTATATTTAAGTTGGTTTTGATTAGGTATGACATAAGGCAGAACATACCTGCTGAATAAACTTACTCAGTCACATAATACTTAGGTGAGTAAAATATGCACATATTTGAAAGCAGAGGGTACGGAAAATGAAATACCCACTCAACGTTCATAATACCAACTCCAAACAAATACAGTTGTTACAGTACCCACATGAGCTAAATCCTAGCCCCTAAGGCCCCCACCCCCAAAAAAAATTGTCCGTTTCCGTAACCCTAACGACCTATCCTATCCTACCTACACACACCCCGACCCTAAATCTTTTTTTAACCAAGTCAATATCATGACTGGAATGCATTTCAACTCATCATATCATCCATATTGAGTATGATATTTTCATGTTTTTCAGTGTACGTAGGGCCAAAATGGATTGCATTGAATTAGCATAATGGGTCCTCACAGACCAAATCTGCAAATACATAACATAAATAATGATTTGATAAAGAAATCTTTCAATGTTTCATCACAAGGCATTGTCACTACATGATATGGTACTCTTGAAGACCTTAGGTGCCCACCTGGTGCCACTAAGAAATAAAAAAAAAAGATAAAACCGACCCACCTACCCTATTTTTAAAAAGCATGTAATAGGAAACGGGCATAAAGTTCTTTTTGGTCTTATCTGGAGCTCTGTTGAGAGACAGATAAAAAATATGCACGATATGGTAGGAAATAATTTAGAAAACATAGCAGCTACGCACCACAGCAATGGTGTACTGTCTTAGAATCATTTACAGACGTATTTAACTGAAAAAAGTATTGTTTTATTGTGGTTTTACCTGTTTACACAAGAGTAGCATTGTTGTGGTGAATATATGAAACGAAACACAAGATCAAATACTCCATTAAATTCCATTCAGTACTCTAAATGTACTCTTTAAGTTTTTCCAGTACTCCTATATTTAAAAAATAAGGAATACATACTCCTGATGTTGAAAAATAATCTGGAGCCTTGATAACTTGTCATACATTCGATTACAACATATTTGCATGAAGCATTGTCCACCAGGCTAATATCAAGTATGTGTTCTGGAAAAGTCCGGGGCAGTGGGGTAGCCCAGTGGTTAAAGCGTCCATTTCGTCATGTTGAAGACCCGGTTCGATTCCCGAAGCCCATTTCTGGTGCCCCCTCAGTGATATTGCTGGAATATTGCTAAAAGTTGCGTAATACCATACTCACTCGTTCTAGATATGTCATCCTCATCCCTGAAAGTATGTGAGATTACGTAATTTACTTGGGGCACTTTTTATCATGTGAAAGTCTGGTAGTGTATTGAAACTTAACACTTAATCAAATTGTGGTGTTTTCAGATTGTGAACAAGGACACGCTGGATGTTTACATCGAACACCGGATGTTAATGGAGCAGCGGAGTCATCCCGACGGCCAGGAGGTCACTCGAGACCCCATGAACAAATACCCCCCAGAGCTGATGAGGAGATTGTGAGTTGATGTCTTCAAATTTGCAGTAATTATGTAGAGCATTGCACAAGTGTGTCTTCCTTGGATTCTCTTATGAACTGATGAAGAATGCAAGTGTTGAGATGTCAGCCATAACTCGGATGTGGTATTTTAAGGATACGGTTTGTCCTCATCACCCGTTCCTGTAGCAGATACTCTTGGGGACCCCCATTTTACCCGAACAGTTGGTTGAAACCGTAGATATTATGAGTTAATCTGAATATGAGCTTTCTACTGGTCCACCTGTCTGGAACAATCTTTCCAATTCTATAAGGTCTGATAACAATAGTTTATATTGTATGACTTGATACTGCGAAGATCCTGTTTTTGGTGCAGACTTGTGATGTTAGTGTTGTTGTTTCAGCGAGGTGTACTTCAAGGCGCAGGGAGATCAGAAGCATTCCGCAATCCGAGAGGTCAAGGCCGAACACATCGGCAAGCTGGTGTGTGTGAAGGGCATCGTGACCCGGGCGACGGAGGTTAAACCTATGATGACGGTCGCCACTTACACCTGCGACACATGCGGCAATGAGACATACCAGCCAGTGAGTAATCCAGAGTTGTACTGGTTCCTGATCTTCTGTCACTGTGGTGGTTCTAAAGTACTGTCGGAAATGCTAGAAAAATGCTTTTTGACTTATATTGAAAATTCAGCGGTATTACAGTTACTTAAATAACAAATATCACTTCAAGAAACATCTACCTAATGTAGACCGAGGGGATAAATTTTGAGACATGCTCTAAAATCTGTTTTTACTGATGAAAATACCAAAAAACTTAGAAAAATATGGGGTAGTTGGGCGTTATTTGAAACAAACATTAACTGCCTGTGTTACGTCATCAGCATGCACGGTATCGACAGGTGAAATTGACACCTGAGCACACGCTCGGGCGAGGGATCATCTCAATAGATGTTTTCTGCAAAATGTTGAATATGTGTACGTATAGTATACGTATTGGTTATGTAAGGGATCATTTGTGTATGTGTGTTTGTTTTGAAATAAACATACGAATTACTGTACACTGGAAAAAAATCCTATCACTTGTGTTATCTTATCGATTGATTGTAGAAATGTGCAACGTTTTAATAAATGTTTTGCATGTCAACAGTATATTTCATTGAAAAAATATGGATGTAATTCGGTCAGTTTAATCTAGTTGTGAACATTGGCCAAAGATTTAACGAAGTCACTGGTGTAGCTTCTTTAGAATATATATATTTTTCTTTTCATAAAGTTTGTAGACCGCCCGTCTAAGCACTCCCTTATCAAAGTTGTCAAGGATGGTTTTACGTCCCGGTTTTGCATTTGAACGGTCCCTGTCTTGTCTGATTTGTGTACAATATTGTTAACTTGTTGGCAAGACATGCCAACAGCTCTACAAGTTCTGTAATAAACCCTTTCTAAACTAATGAAAGGTTTATCTCTGTCATTTTTAAGCAGAAAAAACCTATAACCCTTGGCAACAATCGACTGCAAATCGTTGGCCATAGTTGACGCTGTGATAAAGATGTGCATGCATGATGGGAAACTTATTTATCAAGACTTAACATTTATATTAATATTTCTTCAATAAAGAAAACGATAATTAAGTAAAGTAACACAAACATTCAACATTTATTTGTTTAGGAAAAACGTTAATTCATATTTTTACACCACCTGTATTATTAGCATAAATGTAAAGACTATTTCAGCTTCTTTTGTTGAACTCTGAAAAAATCTTAAGTTGCTGTTTTGGTACCAAATTCTCTCCTGTAAACTGCCCTTTAAATGCATGGGAATGTTAAATCGATTGAAATAAAAATTAGGTAGACATTAGGCGAGTTGATATATTGACAACATGGTACATTTATCACCTGTATAAAGATATTAAGGCTAAAAAGCATTTTTCTAGCATATCCGACAGTACTTTAGTTACTTGTAGCCTACTAGCATGGTGTTCATGGAATCTTGCCGCCATGTGAGTGCTCATTCTTTTGACCATACATTCACGAGGTCTAGGACAAATATTTCCACGTTCTGGCCAGTGATGTTGTAGACTTCAGCCAAAAAGAAAAAAACTACTGAACATTTTTTTTTCATAGTGACAAGGGAAATCAGAAATGTGTTTTATTCCGAGAAAAGGTTGAGGGTATATAGTTACACCTAGGAATTCTTTCTTTCAAAAGACTTTTTCATTCAACCAATACTATGAAAACTATGTTTGGCATGTTTTCAAAATTTATTTTTTTTAGATCTGAAAATAAAATGTGTTTGTGATGTTACAGATCAACTCGCCGTCGTTCATGCCGCTGCTGATGTGCCCCAGCCAGGACTGCACAGTGAACCGGTCTGGTGGGAGGCTCTACCTACAGACTCGCGGATCTAAGTTCGCCAAGTTTCAGGAAATCAAGATCCAAGAGCATGTAAGCTTCCATTTTAACCTCAGTCTGAGTGCTTTGGGCTTCCATTTAAACCTCAGTCTGAGTGCTTGGGGCTTCCATTTAAACCTCAGTCTGAGTGCTTGGGGCTTCCATTTTAACCTCAGTCTGAGTGCTTTGGGCTTCCATTTAAACCTCAGTCTGAGTGCTTGGGGCTTCCATTTAAACCTCAGTCTGAGTGCTTGGGGCTTCCATTTTAACCTCAGTCTGAGTGCTTAGGGCTTCCATTTTAACCTCAGTCTGAGTGCTTGGGGCTTCCATTTAAACCTCAGTCTGAGTGCTTGGGGCTTGTGTTATATGTTATTATAAACTTATTTGACCATGTTTGTCTGAAGAACCGGGACGATCGGGGTAGCCTAGTGGTTGGCTTGTCACGCTGAAGACAAAGGTTTGATTCCCCACATGGGTACAATGTACGAAGCCCATTTATGGTGTCCCCTGCCATGGTATTGCTGGAATCTTGCTTTGACATTCATTTGTTGTGTTATGTTACGTAGCACATAGCTGCAGCTCAGTCTGGCGTATGTTGCAAGGGGGGGACCTGTTTTAGTTGGGTACTGTGATGTTGGGTGAACAATTTATTTCCACTGCTTGTTCTTTTCTGTGGTGTTAAGTTCACTTTTGATGGATTGTTATAACCTGGTTGCCCATGTCAGTATCTTGCTGCTGCTGCTGCTGCTGCTGATGATGAAGATGACTGCACACTGTTATGTTTCAGAGTGACCAAGTTCCGGTGGGCAACATTCCAAGGAGTATGACCATCTTCTGTCGGGGAGAGACAACCCGCCTGGCCCAGCCTGGAGACCATGTCAGTGTCACTGGTGTATCCTTTATCAGAGACGTCCATGGTGCGGGCATGCACTGTTCAAAATGTTGGGTTACACCAGACACTTAAGTAACAAACACTCTTGTCGTCATTGCAAGGAATGAATGTTAAAAGGTTGGGGTCGTTTTATTGTTCAAATTTTATGCATGGGTTACCTAGAACTGCTATGACCTGATATTCACTTACTATTCTGCAGCAACAGTCATTATTGCAACAACAGTGTTATTTTGAACCCAGTGAAGTGCTGCTACTACAGACACGTGTGTATGGAATTGACACAAAGGACACGTATTGCATCTCGGTGAATACATTTTGATAATTGATGTTCTTTATTCCTTAGAATAGATATAGAGGTCCTGTAATTAATTTAACTGCACACTCCATCATTTCATAACTTCATATTGCTTTGTAAGGACTAAGGAAACAGATGATTGGGGTCTTTAATACCTACAGTTGCAGGTAAAAGGTAAAAATTGCACAAAAAAGGTCCTGAAAATGTTCTGGCCTTACAGAGTAGTGACAGCAGGACTAGTGATAATGAAATGGCTGTACTGGTTAATTGTGTACACTGGATGTGGTGTTGTATACCTCAGTTGGGGGACATAACATCTTTAAGTATTTCCAATTAGCCTCTCAAGTGTTTAAAATAATACCTGTCTTATCTACTAATTAGTGTTGGGAATTGGTTAAAATCTCATAATTGATGATTGGTCCATTACAACTGATCAATCATCAAAAATGATTGGTTAGCATCATTTATCAAATGTCCCAGTTATTTTTGTTAATGCACACACACACACACACACACACACACACATAAATGTAGTTATTTGTGTTGTTTTCGAAATTGCACAAAATCCATTTGCAAATTTCGCACATTGATAGGAAGATTAGCATGTTAGAACACAGATTTCCTGGATTCTTTAAGATAAATTCAATCATGACTTGGAACAAGCTTGTAGTGCTCATGAAATGTAAACTTAATGACACAGACCACTACTACAAATCCTTCAATGGCATGGTCTCGTTTGTCAACACGTTTTATCTGTATGGACAATGGCATGGAGTGGGAAGATGGCGAGATGCAACTTGGCCTCTGTTGAGGTTTCCAGGAATAGTGTCACCGTGTGTGTAGTCCAGACATTGAAGGGCGAAATTTCTTGCAATACCTGGATTGAATGTGCAGTCTGCTTGTTAGCACTTCAGATATGATGTCATACTATGGTCTTTAACTTGGTCAGATATTTTTGCCCATGGTGAAGACTGGCTTCGGACAAGTGCAGCAGGGTCTACTGTCTGAGACGTACATGGAGACACACGTGAGTGAAACAGTCATGGCTGGGTACACAGTAATGTGTTGAGATATGACTCACAATAATATGTCAAGATATGTAATGGTGCTGTTACAATGTCTCTTCAGTGCATGTGACCTGTCCTGTATGGGTGTATACACTCAGAGCTGACCTGACCTATCATGATCAATTTGAAAAGTGTTTTGTAGATCCCTGATTGTGGCATTAGATCATTACAAGCACTCTACAGGAACGTGTAATCCATCATAACGTCTTATTAAATCCAAACAGAAGGTCTAGTTCCACACTTGAAATGAAATCACTTAACTAATTGTCAGGTTAGTAACTTTTCCTGAAACAACCTTACACATATTTGTTGTGGCAGGTGTCTAGTTATAGTTTTCCTGAAACAGTACTCATGTATTAACACAGTTTAGTTTGCTAAGTTTTGTGAACTTGTTTATCTGCAGCGGATTATCAAGATGAACAAGACAGAGGATGATGAGCTGGATGCACAGGAGCTGAGCGAGGAAGAGCTGAAGCAGCTCGCAGGTAGAGAACACCTCCTTCATTCTCCTGCACATCTTACTGTTGCTTGAAGGATGTCACAACATGTCGTCAATCTTGTCAGATTTTTTCGTTGCATTGATGACATGAGCCATTGTATGGTGAACATCACACTATGCAGCTTCTGGGTATACTGGTCTTGGTTCCTTGTTTGGTATCAGCCAATGAACCTGAATTCTGGTAATCGTCATTTGGTTGTCACTCAAATTCATGTTTGGCATTACAAGTCCTGACAACCGTGGACTGACCATGTTGTTTCCTTCAGAGGATGACTTCTATGACAAGCTGGCCAGCAGCATCGCTACCGAGATCTACGGACACGAGGATGTAAAGAAGGCTTTGCTGCTGCTACTGGTGGGGAAGTGGACCAGTCTCCCAAGGGGATGAAGATTAGAGGTAAGTCATGTGGAATTAGTTCTACAGAGAAGATGACAATAATCACAAAATAGCAACAGATGAACTAGGGTACCAATGCAGTTTGTAGGCGCTGTAATAGCTCTGAAAGTTGTCACAGTTGTCCATGTTGCCGCTGCTGCCTCCTCACACACTTGTGTCTGTTACAGGGAACATCAACATCTGCCTGATGGGCGACCCCGGTGTGGCCAAGTCACAGCTATTATCCTACATCGACAGACTTGCACCTAGAAGTAAGTACACCCCAGTATCTGTGTGCACATGTTCTTCTTTAGGTGTAAAGATGGCCGTTCCTTCCTCTCTCTCATGCTGAGTTACTGTAGCGGTGACCTGTTCATTCAGTCTGCTTGGATCTACCTTCAGTAAGTCACCTGTTAATGAAATCCCAGAGGTCAGTGGAATGTCAACCTCTCTAGTTGTCCATGTCGTCGCTACTTGGGCTGGTGGCAGGTACATGTAGAGTTGGACCCGTTTCAAATGGGTTATGGCACACTGTAATTTCACAATGTATTTTGTCACAACACGATGCATTTTTTTTTAATGTGCACCTAAAGAATATAGCGGGGGGTTCACTTTTTGTATCTGGGGGACCTGATGGCAGCCTGGCAGTTATTTTTATTTCAAGAGAGGTACAGGTTTCAGTTGCATCTCCACAGGATGAAGTAGGCATACCACAATACAACAAAAGTGTACTACGGTCATGGGGGACTTTCACTTTCAATTGACAAACAGATTTTAGTATCTGAAACATTCTCTTTCGCTGAAGTATGGGGAAGCCAAAGTGGCTGTACTGATGTGGTCTGTGGCTAATGTATTGGAAGAGTCCCTGAAGTGGACACAGGTCTTCAGAAGGGTTTGGCAAGAGACAGTGGATGTAACTGTATTGTTGGTTTCAGGTCAGTACACGACAGGACGAGGCTCGTCCGGTGTTGGTCTGACGGCAGCAGTGATGAAGGACCCCCTGACCGGGGAGATGACACTGGAGGGCGGGGCACTTGTCCTGGCTGACCAGGGTGTGTGCTGTATTGATGAGTTTGACAAGATGATGGATGGCGACAGAACAGCCATCCACGAGGTCATGGAACAGCAGACCATCTCGATCGCCAAGGTAACGCTTCTAACCAATTACAACTTGTGCCTGTCTGGGGATTGAATCTCATGTTGATAATTCAATTCCCCGTACAATGTGTGCAGTCCATTTCCTGTGTCCCCTGCTGTGATATTGCTCGAATAATGTTAAAAACTCACTCATGTTGATAACATATCTGTAACTGTAGCCCAGAGACACTGGTTGTGAAGTGTTGTCCAGTTGCCTGATAACATCTGTGTTCTTCCTACAGGCAGGGATCATGACGAGTCTGAATGCCCGTGTGTCAATACTGGCAGCAGCCAACCCTGCCTACGGCCGATACAACCCCAAGAAGACAGTGGAGCAGAATATCCAGCTCCCAGCCGCTCTGCTGTCCAGATTCGACCTGCTCTGGCTGATCCAGGACAAGGCTGACCGAGAAAACGATCTCAGGTGAGACACCCAAGAGAGACTTCTAACGCAATGTCTTCACTGTTTATTGTATGATACCCCTCCAGAAATGACAAGCAGTTTTATAATGAAATGATCTCTGTTTCAGATTGGCCCAGCACATCACATACGTCCACCAGCACAACGTGCACCCTCCGTGTCAGTTCACACCCCTGGACATGAAGCTGATGAGGTACATACGGAAACATTGGCATATGTGGTCAAATATTTTAATTTTTAAAAAAATAGTTAATGAGTGAGCGAGTTTAGTTTATGCCGCACTCAGCAATATTCCAGCTATGGCAGCGGTCTGCAAATAATCAAGTCTGGACCAGACAATCCAGTGATCAACAGCACGAGCATCGGTCTGCACAATTGGGAACCGATGACATGTGTCAACCAAGTCAGCGAGCCTGACCACCCAATCCTGTTAGTCGCCTCTTACAGCAAGCATGGGTTACTGAAGACCAATATTCTAACCTGGACCTTCACGGGTCAAATAGATAATGAAGTTGGGAGCATGGCTACTAAGCATTTTCACTGTCTTCAGTTACCGTTTGAGGAATAACCGAGTCAGGTGTGGAAATAACTTTAAAATTGCTAGTTTTCTCCGGTACAGTGGCACATGTAAAATCACTTGCCCTGATAATTTTTCCACTATACCGGCCGTTTTCTTCTTGATTTTTTAAATAAACAACATTAGTAATATTGGAAAGTCAACTTGACACCGGTACAGTGTGATATACAAATTTGCTTGACCGACAGAAAAAAAAACTGGCGTCGGGCAATGGGTTATTTCCACCCCTGAGAGTAAGATTCTGTTTTGTTAATTTTCGATAAAATTAGTTTGAAGTACTTGTACGTTGCTGTAGTTAATATGGGTGTTGTGTGTAGATGTTATCATTTATCATGTCAATTGTAGACGGTACATCGCTCTCTGCAAGAAGAAGAACCCTGCCGTGCCCGAGGGTCTGGCGGAGTTCATCACCGGCGCCTACGTGGAGATGAGGAAGGAGGCTCGCAACAACAAGGACATGACCTTCACCAGCGCCAGGACCCTCCTCGCCATTCTCCGCCTCTCAACGGCTCTGGTGAGACTTCCTTCTGATTGTACTTCTACCTAAACACCAGTAACCCAGTGGGGTCGCACTCGTCATACTGAAGCTGAGAGTTTGATGCCCTATATTGGTTTGTATGCAGAACATTGCAGTGTAGGCATACTGTTGGAATAAGGCTGTGACGCCTATATTGTACACTCAGTATATGCCTCCTGTAATACCCAAGCTACTGTAGGTCTTCCTGTGTGACATATCATTGGTTGACAGTAACCTGATGTAGATAGGCCTGATGCCAGTGTATGAAATAAGCCGCAAAAACCCAGCCAGACATTTGGGCTGGTAACTTCAAAAACTTGCCAGCCCAGAAGAGATTTAACCAGTCCTTCTTACATACTAAATAGAGAGTGACATTTGACACATTATCTGAATTTAAAAAAATTCACCCGTCCATCAGGCTGGCTAGCTGTAAAATTAGACCGTTTGACAGAAATCTATCCTGTCTCGGGCGGTCGGACGGGCCTTATTTCATCAACTGCTGATGCTTCTATAAATTATCATTAGCTTCACTGTATAATGTTTGGATGAAAAGTACAGTGTGAAACTGCCATGTATGTTACTGTTACACACCACCATGGCAGCTGCCATTGGTATTATTCCGCGAATCACACAGATTAGATATAAAGTGATGAAAGTGGTGCTGATCACTGGATCAAACGCTCGTTTTCCGCTTTGTCCCGGATCTGACATGTGGTGTTCTTGCAGGCACGTCTCCGACTGGCAGACACGGTGGAAAAGGAGGATGTGAACGAGGCGATGCGGTTGATGGAGATGTGCCGGGACTCCCTGAACCCACACCACGACATGCACACCAGGTGAGTGATCCAGCACCTCACTGTGACAGTATCGGAGGACATGTTCTGCTTCATATATCAAGCACCGCTAGCTAGTACTGCTAGTACTGCTCAGAATCAACATGGCATAGTTGATGTTTTCAAGAGGACAATAAACTGGCCTTCATTTTGTACAATTCAGAGGGGTTTTTCAATATTCAGTTAGGGGTGTTTTCAGATCTTCTCCAGGGAGTTCTATGATAGGGAAGATTTGTTTTTATGAGGTATTCCCACTCTCTGCTGTATTCCCACTCCAAATCCCTCAAATGACCTAGTTTGTGTTTTTAACAAATTACAAACCGCCTCCGTGATGTAGTGGTTAGAGCGACTGCCTGGAGAGCGGAAGGTCGCGGGCTCGATCCCCGACCGCGTCATACCAAATGACGTTAAAATATGGTACTTGTTGGTCCCTGCGACTAACTGCGAGGCGACTAACGGGATCGGGTGGTCAGGCTCGCTGGCTTGGTTGACACATGTCATCGGTTCCCGATTACGCAGATAGATGCTCATGCTGTTGATAGCTGGTTTGTCTGGTCCAGACTCGATTATGTACAGACCGCCACCATATAGCTGTAATATTGCTGAGTGCGGCATAAAACTAAACTCACTCACTCTTCAACTACAACATACCAGAAAACCACAAGCACATAGTTGAATCCATGAAAAAAACTTCTCACAGATATTCAGAGACTTGAGATGATTTCAGGTATGTCAAGATTATACATTGTTTAACACCAATTAAATGATGATATTAAATTATGAATATACTGTACAAAAATAGTTAGGGATATATGTTAATTTTGAAATTATAAATAATGATCTTTTTATTCATTGACACACTGATAAAATATCAATCATAAAAATACCAATATCCAAGCCAACACCAACTGATTTAGCTGGGCTTGATCGGTTTATTCAGCTCTTTGACTATACATGTGGAACTGAACTCAAAAACATGAAAGCTGTTGATGGTAGTACTCCGAGAATTGACAGTATTGTCAGCAAAGTGTTCGACAGGGCTAACTTGGTTTGTATGGCACCAGTTGAGGTACCATACTCCAGTAGGCTAGCAGATCATGTCCAGATGTGTGTTTCTACTGTGCCAGTGCTCATGTCCTGGTAGGTGAGGATGCTGCAAAAGAGAGTTACCCTATGTGTGTTCCTTGCTCCAATGTCCACAAACATGGAAACAAGAGGAGATGGAACCTTTGGGCCAACAAAAAGGCCCAAGAAGAGTTGACGATATGCTGGATTGAATCTACAACTCGTCAAACACAAGCTAAACTCCCCAAGCTCCCCATTTCTGAGAGAAAAAATAAATATGTGTTCCTCCCTCATCACATTTTTTTCTATCAAAAAGTGAAAAAGAAAGTCCTACCGCCCTCGTCACTTTTGAAAAAAATGTGCCCGAGAAACATTTACCTTTTTTGATGCAGCCTTATAAGAATAATTTTTAAAAATCAGTTTCATACATTTTGGTAATTTTTATTGAAAATGTGTAGGAGGTAAGGGAAAAGATAAAAGTATGGCATGGATGGGAGTTTTTGTGGCATTTTAATGATTTTCTTCTATCAACGGTGATAGTAAATATGTTTTTTATGTTATTTCTGGTTGCAAATTTGAAAAACAAGGTCTTGATGAAGTTTCCGAATTTCTCACTGATGTGAAGTTGTGACCTCGAGAGTACTAAATATAAATTATTCCTACAGGGTACAAAACGTGACTGACCAGATCTTCGCTGTGATCCGTGAGATGGCCCCAGCCAAGGGCGTGAAGTCCGTGAAAGTGAGTGACATCCTGGAGCAGTGTACATCTAAGGGATTCAAACCTGACCAGGTGGACGCCTGCATCGACGAGTATGAGGAACTGAACGTGTGGCAGGTGAACAATGCCAGGTCGAGACTGACCTTTGTGTAGAACCAGCGAGTGATGGACGGAAACACCTGCAGTTAACATAGGTCTGTTATAATCAAGTCGCTAGTGAGGAACACCCAGGTAACTTCATGGACATCTGAACAAAGATTCATCACTACCATCTAGGAAATATAACATGGACATAACGACATCCTCTAGCACAGGGATGTAGAGAACATATAGTTTATTCGTCAGTCTCCTGCACAGTTTTATAATGTTTCAGCTGTTTTAATGTAACTTAAGACTGTATTTTAAGAGTAGTCTGGATGGGTGCTCCGTGTCGAGTGCTGTGTACATAGTATCATCTCACTGTATATATCTCCATATTGTCGTCACGAAACAACTCCAGTAAGTGGAGACTGGTTTTGAACTTGTAAAATTTTGTAAATTCATTCTGTCTGAAATAAATTCATTTCATTTCATTTTGTGTGTTGTGCTGTATCGGGTGAAATCTGTGTGATTGAGTAGCTAGTGGACCACAGTGCTTGTAACTGAATATCATGATCTGGTTGACTGGTGGCAGTGGTTGATCAACTGGTTGAAGGGAGTTCAGCTCAACCATGTCACCACCATGTGCCTGTACTACACCTTCCTGGTACCCATGTCACCACCATGTGTGTGTACTACACCTTCCTGGTACCCATGTCACCACCATGTGTCTGTACTACACCTTCCTGGTACCCATGTCCCCACCATGTGTGTGTACTACACCTTCCTGGTACCCATGTCACCAGCATTGTGTCTGTACTACACCTTCCTGGTACCCATGTCACCACCATGTGTCTGTACTACACCTTCCTGGTACCCATGTCACCACCATGTGTCTGTACTACACCTTCCTGGTACCCATGTCACCACCATGTGTGTGTACTACACCTTCCTGGTACCCATGTCACCACCATGTGTGTGTACTACACCTTCCTGGTACCCATGTCACCACCATGTGTGTCTGTACTACACCTTCCTGGTACCCATGTCACCACCATGTGTCTGTACTACACCTTGCTGGTACCCATGTCACCACCATGTGTCTGTACTACACCTTCCTGGTACCCATGTCACCACCATGTGTTTGTACTACACCTTCCTGGTACCCATGTCACCACCGTGTGTGTACTACACCTTCCTGGTACCCATGTCACCACCATGTGTTTGTACTACACCTTCCTGGTACCCATGTCAACACCATGTTTCTGTACTACACCTTCCTGGTACCCATGTCACCACCATGTGTTTGTACTACACCTTCCTGGTACCCATGTCACCACCGTGTGTGTACTACACCTTCCTGGTACCCATGTCACCACCATGTGTGTGTACTACACCTTCCTGGTACCCATGTCACCACCATGTGTCTGTACTACACCTTCCTGGTACCCATGTCACCACCATGTGTCTGTACTACACCTTCCTGGTACCCATGTCACCACCATGTGCCTGTACTACACCTTCCTGGTACCCATGTCACCACCATGTGTTTGTACTACACCTTCCCTGGTACCCATGTCACCACCATGTGTGGTTTCACTATCAGTCTCTGATACACCTTCCTGGTACCCATGTCACCACCATGTGCCTGTACTACACCTTCCTGGTACCCATGTCACCACCATGTGTTTGTACTACACCTTCCTGGTACCCATGTCACCACCGTGTGTGTGCTACACCTGTCCTGGTACCCATGTCACCACCATGTGTGTGTACTACACCTTCCTGGTACCCATGTCACCACCATGTGTCTGTACTACACCTTCCTGGTACCCATGTCACCACCATGTGTTTGTACTACACCTTCCTGGTACCCATGTCACCACCATGTGTTTGTACTACACCTTCCTGGTACCCATGTCACCACTATGTGTTTGTACTACACCTTCCTGGTACCCATGTCACCACCGTGTGTGTACTACACCTTCCTGGTACCCATGTCACCACCATGTGTGTACTACACCTTCCTGGTACCCATGTCACCACCATGTGTTTGTACTACACCTTCCTGGTACCCATGTCACCACCATATGCCATGTGTTTGTACCCATGTCACACCATGTGTTCTGTACTACAACTTCCTGGTACCCATGTCACCACCGTATCCATGTTGTGTACTACACCTTCCTGGTACCCATGCACCACCGTGTCTGTACTACACCTTCCTGGTACATTACCCGTGAAGGTCCAGGTTAAAATATTGATCTTCAGTAACCCATGCTTCTCGAAAGAGGCAACTAACCGGATCTGGTGGTCAGGCTCGCTGATTTGGTTGCCAAATGCATAGATCGATGCTCATGCTGTTGATCACTAGATTGTCTGGTCCAGACTCGATTATTTACAGACTGCAGCCATATAGCTGGAATATTGCTGAGTGTGGCATAAAACTAAATTCACTTCCTCACCTTGTGTCTGAATAAGGGTCACTTTAGAAATTTGGCGAAGGTATATTACAGAATCTACAAGCAACCCTACGCCAACCCAATTCCTACAAACAATCATCGCCAGCCCATTCCCACAAGCAATCTCATTGTGGGTAATAAATTAACGCATTATCTGATACTTTCAACGTACATAACGCCCCGTGTCGTCAGTGCTAATGTACTGTGCTTAACACGTGGTGATCTCGCTGTGCTGGCTGATGCAGGAATGACAGTCACCGGGAAACGCTGTGATACATCCGGGAACGTTGTATAAAATATGTGACAAGTTTTAGTTGTCACACTGGTGATGGGTATAGCTTCCAGTGAATTTGCTGGTGTATCCTAAACGTTAGGACGGATTTATTTTAAACATACGCCAAATATGTTGATGGACCACACTCACATACCGCCATACAGATTTAGGGTATTTTAACTGCTGTCCGTTTAAGAAATAAGTAGCTGTGGGGGTAACATTACAAACTGCCACAGGGAATGATTGAAAAACGGAAACTAATTATGATTTGGACTGTTGAAAAAAATGAATTTTCTGTCGTGAAAAATCGATATTGTTGCAAGATGACAAATATGTATACGGAAGCGCTGAAGGGACCTGATGAAATCAAATTATCTTGAAGTTATATATTGAGCGCACAAGTTAGTATGTTGAGCGCACAAGTTAGTATGATGAGCGCACATGTTAGTATGTTGAAATACACTGCTCCATAAGCAGTTCATGTCGAAGCAACGGAGGAGCGGAAACGCGAGCTGATTCATGCTTATTTCAGACTTTGGTTCCAAGACAAAAATATAATACATCTTCTTGTTTAAAATCACGGTATAGTATAGTACGCCACTTGAAGGGTATTCTGAGGTGTATGTCCTTCTTTCGCACCAGATACCAGATTTGCTGATGTTACAGTGAGTGAGTGAGCACGGTTTACGCCGCTTTTATCAATATTCCAGCAATATCACGGCGGCGGACACCAGAAATGGGCTTCACACATTGTACTCATGTGGGGAATTTAACCCAGGTCTTCGGCGTGACGAGCGGTTGCTTTAACCACGAGGCTACCCCACCGGCCCGCTGATGTTACAGACTTTATTGCGGACATATCGACGATCTGGACAAAGACATGGTTATCGTTGGATGCATCAAAAATGTATCCAATGTGGTTTATCGTGAAACAGGATAGTGTACGTTCGTTGCTAATAGTGTTGGACCCGGATGGCGTTGAATTTCGCTCAAGACACGTGTTCATCGACGAGTTTATTCTTCAACTTCCTGTGTTGTTAAAATATGTTAAATATACTACAACACACATACGTATACATACGGGATTGAAACGGAGGAAGTAAAACGAGGAACATGATATTTTAGTAAGAAATAAAGTCGGTATATATGCTATACGTGCACATACTAATGGATCAAATATATAAGGCGGGTTTTATATGATATTGAGTTAAACTCAATACATCAGACATCAGTTTTATAATTAAGTATAACACTCAATGTTTACATTTGTCACGGTCATGTAATACTACATATACATAATAAAGCCGTAGCACAAAACAGTTATCCAAGCGTTACGCTAGTGTTCATAATACGTTGTACCAATATTAGAAGTCAGTAAAACCACTATTCATTCCTGCAATAAACTCCTACTCATGTTTAAGTTTTAATTCTTATTATGACATTACACATACCTAGGCCTGCTTTATGTACTAAAGCGAAAAGTAATAAAATCAGTTACAAAGAATAGTATTGACAAGCATAAAGACGATGAACATTTACATAAACATTATCAATGTTCATGATAAATGTGCATACTTTTACATAATCTCATCATAAACACCTATAGTTAACTCCGACTTTGCATCATTTGAAATCTTCCAAAAAGGATACAAGTTTGTACATTGTAGCCATCAGTCAAGCAAACGTGCTTTCCATTAATGCCATTAGATGCTAAACACTAAGTTGAGCCCTCAATATATTAACTTGTGCACTAAACATACTAACTTGTGAGCTCAAGATGCTAACTTGTGCGCTCAAGATAATTTTTATTTCATCAGGTCCCTTTAGGGCTTCCGTAAATTTACGCTCATATTTCATTCAAAATATATCTCGATTTGCATGTAACGCTGAACCAAACAAATATCCAGTCTCCACAAGCTGACACAGAGTGGTATACCCTGTAACGGACATCCTCGCCATGTGGAACACTTCCTCGTTTTATCATTTTGCATCTTCACATTACTGACGTTTTGAACATGATAACAGAAGCGCGCCAAGATAGCGCTTGCATTCGCACAGCTGGTTATGACGTCATAATTTTGTAGCTTGTGTGACGTCAAGGTTTGTAACGTCTTCAAAGAAGAGTCGCCGTTGGATTCAGAGGAGAGGGGCAAATTTAACTCACCAATATCGGAGGTAAGATTCGCTTATCTTAAAGACACAGTGTGTCACATAAATGATCTTCTGATAATCATGACGGTCCATTAATCCAACGTATTAATAAATAAGCATCAATATTCTTGAATATTGAGAAGCTGTCGTTCAAACACGATGCTATTCTAAAGGCAAGCTGATATTACAAGCCTACTTTCTAATTTATATTAGTGTTGTGGGTTTGTGTACCGAGTTTGCTTTGGAACACCAGTAATCGGCCGGCAACACCACTTGTAAAATATGAACGTTGATTGGAACTATCCGCTATGTTAGCATGCACTTACATGTCATTGCAGTGTAGCATAAACAATTTTCATGAAAAGTGTTCAGGATGTATTTTTGTAAAATTTGACTGGCAAATTTGAAATCATCTGTGCTCTGCGCACATAATTTCAGTTCAATTTTCTGACCACTATTTAACTAATGACTTCACATTTATCAACTTAGGTATGGTCCCACAATGCACAATCCCACAGGCCGCCATGTTAACCCCCTGGGTGCCACAGGGACATATGTCCTTCCCCTTCAACCCTCAATTTGAAGACCAATAAAAATCTAAATATCC